GACCTGACGGCCTGCAGCGCCTGCACCACCTGCTGCAGGGCCGTGTAGTTGTGCTCCACCTCCGAAACCTGCGCGACATCACACTGCTCAGCACCTACCGACATCTGACGCACAGTCTGACGCTAAACCTAGCGGAGGCTGAGACGATTTTGCAGCGCCGTGTGGCCTGGCAGAAGTTAGCGACAGTTCTGGGGTCCTTTCCGCCTTTTTCGTCATGGTGACGAGTAAGTGGTGTGCGTGGAATCAGTCTGAGATGCGGGAGCCAGTCAGTGCAGGCAGAGAACCTTGGCCGGAGAAGTGGGTACAGGGTCCGGATCGAGCGAGGGCCCAGGATGCGGGAGGCCTTAGAGATTGAGCTACGTTCGAACAAGGAGAGGACGGAAGGCGGCCTTTCCCTGAGTCGATCATGCAAGCCCCTCGTCCACACTCTTGAAGGACGTAGAAAACATGCGGCGCAGAATTGCCAGCCTCGACCTGGCCACAAGGCCACCAGACAAGGCAACTTGTCCTTTGTGAAATGGATTTTGCTTGGATGGATCCCTGGGATTTGAACGTAGAAGTGTACGGATCGATTCGGCTGTTGGCTTCTGCCACTTGGAGGAGGAATCACCTCAGCTGAAGGTCTCCACGACTGGGGAAGGCGGGCTGAGTCCCTTTTGAATTATACGCTGTCATTTGACTTACAGCTGACGAAAAGCATGGAAACCCTATCATTCTAACCCAGTAGTTAGACCACTCGTTGCGCCGACCTGTTCGCCTCTCCTGGGGACGGACTCGGCTGGGCTACTGATCCCGCCCTTGGTTGGCTTTCTGGTTGGTTGGCTGCGGAAGCTTAGAAAACTTCTGAGGCAGCAAAGACCTCCGAAACGTCGGCATATTTCTACCAGACTGCACGGCGCTAGACCCAGAAGACGGCCATTTTCGGACTCATCTCCGAGAGAACCTCGAGTCCTATTAATGGAGTAACTCCATTGGTCGAGGTTGATGACGTTAAGTCATGGGAAAATGACAGAGAATGAGTGGGAACTTCGACATCGCTTTACATGACTTGGCTTCCAAGGCAAATTTCGTAACTAGCTGTGACGTCAAAATATGTCTGCGTCAGTACCCGAAAGAAAACGCCGATGACCCGAATTCCAGCCGCGTAGTTCCCCGCCTCCTCCAGAGAACTAAGATCCCTTCGATAGTGGACCACGTGCATTTCCAGGGCAAATCTGAAAAATTGCAAATGGTGGTGTTATCAGTGAGGTTGATCGCTTGCATTGGTGGACAGTAACTGATATTGGTTGAATCAACGAGATGAAATTACAGATAATACGTTTCGTATGAGTGTCGAGCTATTTACATCGAACTAAGTAACTGCTCTGCGTAAGAAGTTGACAGAACCCCCCCCCCCCCCCCCCCCCCCATCCTGTATAAAACCTGAAGGATCATTCATAGGAACCACATTCATCCAAACCACATCCGCCCTAAGATCCGTTTCTATTTTATCGTGCCGTGGTCTCCTTCGTCGAGGCTTCCTCCGACGTATTCTCTAAGCCCGTAACCACTTTCTTTGGTCAGCACTCTTCTTCTACCCACCAAATTCTCAAAGCCCTCAATCTGTGTTCTTCCCTTAACGTGAGAGACCAAGTTTTACACCCGTACAGGACAACAGGTACTATTAACTTTGAATATTTTTATTTTAGTGTTTTGGTTAGCAGACAGAAGAACGAAAATTTCGAACTGCGCGTCAGAAAACATTTCCGGTTTTAGTGCGCTCTTAATTTCCTCGTGATTGCAAGTTTGATTTCTTATGACTGTGAAGACGTGTTTAGAACATTTATTAGCTTCTCTTATACGTTCATTTTTAATGCGCGTATTTTTCTCACTACGTACCTCATGGACCTACCCTCCTCGTCTGTCGCTACAGAAACCATTTTCGTCGTTACTCGAACCCAGGACAATTCTTTAGAGTCTTTCGCTTTCTAAACCCTCTTCCTGATTTCAGGGCATAGTCAAGCAGAATTTGGGGCAAACTGGCTTATTCCTTCTCTAGCTCCAAGTGAAAATACTTAGCACACCCACATTTCCAGTTTTGTGCTTCACGAGACTGCAATGGAACGTTACTACTATTTTACGTCTGTCTTATTTGTTGGTGGCGATTACAACAGACCGCTACTTCAAGTACCACGAAGCAGACTCGTTGAGAATCTGAACTGGTCGTGAAATTTTCCGCTTGTGTGCGACCCTCGAGGACTGTTTACAGCCCGCGACTGATCCCTTTTGTGAGCCAAACAGAAAAATAACGACTGTCTGCAAGTTCTTCTCGCCGACTCGCATGGGCGCAAGGAATTGAACTCGCCTCTCGTTGTTGAGCGTGTGTTCGCTCCCCGACTGGTCGTCCTCGCCCCAGTGGAAGTGCACCTGTTGGAAGACGTATTCCTCCGAGGTCTGGGTAGACCAGTGGTACGGACAGTCCTCCTTCCTCGCCCACGTGGCCATCAGCAGAACTGAAATTCGGAGTTCACTGGCTTAAGCACACTCTTTGAAGGCGTACCTGGCGGGTTGCTGCAAAAAGAAGCCCGCATGATCTCGGCAGTAGAGATGGGCGCGTATATTCGGCGGTGTGGGGTGGGGTGGGGGCTGAGATCGTCACTCCACTGGCTAGCTGTTTAAGTAAGAACCGTATGTCCAAGTCGTGTAAAAAAAAGGAGCTTAATAAACCTGGACGTTTGAAGTAATTGACTGTCATTGTCCGTCGAGGACTCGAGGACTGGCCTCACCTGTGTGGCCGTTGTTGGTGACTGTCATGGCGGCAGGCTTCAGCGAGTAGTTCCACCAGATGATGCGTGGGTGGTGCCTCGTCACTGCTGTGGTTGTGTCCAGATTCACGGGGCTCTGGCTGTGGCCTCCACACGTGTGGAACGTCTGCACCCACGTGGCAGGACCTGCCACAGTCACTCCTTAAACTTCTGCACAGAAGGCGCATCCATCGTTTCTTACGTCGGCCTGGGAACCTCCATTACTGGAGCCCGAGGCAAGAAATGGTCCATTCACGCACACAGGCTGTGCCATTTAGAACCCCCCAGAAGAGTCGTGTGCTTTGGAAATCAAGAAAAGTCTCGCGATTTTGTTAAGGAATTGAGTTTTCTTTGTTACTCGACACTTCTCACATGATATATCGTTATTGGACTGGAGAGAAAGCAGTTTACTTCTAGCTGTCTAACCGCCCACCCCAGCAATAATCTGAATTTGGTAAACGATAGGCGTTTCGGTTCTTTGGCACTACATCTTCAGGAAGCTCGGCGGCACGAGGATCTACCTGTCAAGGAACATGCTGGAAAGAAGGGCCGACATGCAGGGTGTTACCCCAGGCAAGCTACGGAAAAACGAACCGATGTCTTGTAATGGTCTTCATTGCGCACAAGAAGCTCTTGGCGTGGACATTGGTTCGCCGTGCGAGTCGTCAGTTCATTAAATCGTGCGCGGTTGTTTCAGCTCTTTTTTAAATTTTAATACAGCAACTTTCAGCTCGTAGATGAGAATCGGAAACGCAGAGATACCGAGAAGTTTCCGAAGACACTGGACGCAGAAGCTCCTGCCGAATCGACACGAAAAAGTCAGTTTGAAAGACGCTTCGGCAAGCACGCAAGGTGCCGCGAGAAAATCTTCTAAGCTTTAAATTTCAAGTAAAGTTTCCCACTGGTTGATCACATCGTCCTTCAGATGATTCCAATCCGCCGCCAGGAACTTCCTTCAAACTCGCGTACCGGGCCACGGTCAACGTGAAAATGGCATATGGGAAGGATTACCCTTTTCAGTGGATGAAGAAGAACTTTCGTAAAGAAATTTCCTTTGCCCTAGCACGCAAGACGGCGCCAGCCTGCCGTTTTTTCAAGAAAACAGCGGCTTTGTGCCCCCCCCCCTTCCAGACTGCGTTTGTCTGATAAGAAATAAGCGGACAATTTTAATACACGCAGTACCAGTTTTTTGTCAGTCGAGTGCAAAAACGTATCTTAGGCCTCTTTCTCAGCTTATAAACCGGATCGACTGCTAGTTGCTCATCTCGTGACAGCCTGTTTGGAATTAGAGAGCCAGGAAGGGCTGTTTCAGCATAATCGGAAGTTTCCAGACACCGCGTACCAGAGTTCGCCATTGGACAGGATACCTACCCACATCCACCAAATTTATCCAAACTAACCTAACCTAACCTAACCTAACTTAACCTAACCTAACTTATCCTTCCCTGTCTCCATATTCACCAGATTCGAAGATGCGTCTTCCTTCAAAGCAGTGGCGAATCCTGGTCACGAAGTGAGGTCGCACCGTAGTCGTATTATTATCATTTTGCATCTGTTGTGACACGAGAAAAACATTTTTTGTCCTCCAATTTGGTGGTGTGGCCTCGTAATGCAGCGTCCGCCACTGCTTTAAATTCCCACGATTATCTAGTGGTTAGAGGTTGAAGGAGTACGTACCACTTTGTTTTCCATAGCCGAAGTGGTTGGATTTGCTGTGTTCGTTGAATTTGTAGTGCAGATCCATCCTGACGGCTGAAAGAAAGCGATGTGGTCATTATTGTAACGCTCAGACGAGTGTGAATTGTTAATCCTTTAAAGCGATTAATAACTCTGAATTCTGTTCTTTTACGTGTTTCGTTAGATCCTCAGTGTAAACAGCGATTATTTTTTTAAACAGTCGATGCTTGTAATAGTAAAGTGCGGTATTTCCTTTGTTACAGACTAAATTCATAAAATTTTATTTAGATGATGTTTGTGTTCAACGGGTTAAAAGAACCAAGGACTTGAACGTAGTTACAAATCATGTAAATTTTATGTTACCATTAAGTGAAGTGTATGTTCATGTCTGGTGACCGGAGCAGAGGATTCAACAATAATTAAACACCACGTTCGGGGTACGCGAATGAGTGAACTGCCTGAAAATGTGGCAGAATCCGGATGTTTGGGAACAACTCTGCTATTTTCAGTTTGAATGAAAGTCGCTCCCACAAAACACTATTGAATTATAGGGCGCGTGTTGTTGAAAATACGTGAAATAATCAGGCGTCATTATCGTATCAGAGTTCCACGATCCTTTAGAAATGTCCTTGGTTTCATAAATTAGCACGTCACTAAGTTTCTCGCTCGGTCGTTGACGTGAGGCATTTTAGAGATACAGATGATCACAACTTATAACTTTAAAACAGCTCAAACATTGCAAATGAATGTTTTATAAAATGCCGCAACGAGTCAAGACGGAAATGGTTTGAGCGATCACACCGTCGGTATGCTTTAGTTCCACAATCTTTATTTGAAACATTTTAAATATGGTGAACATATAACAAGCTAGAAGCGAAATTATTTTAAGAGCATTAGTGCAGCATTGTTGGTCACCATGATGAACTGAATTGAGGTTAGTCAGTAGAAGTACTTTGTTCGCTACTCGTTCGAGTTGGATAATTGATCAATCGTAGGGAGCGAGAGGTCATCTTCTGCCGCGAGATATCGCTTTGTACCTGAAAGAAACCATTATCGATAGGGTCGATATATTAAAATCGCAATGAAATATGTAAGCAGCCTACGTTGTTTAGTGTGAGTCACTTTGCAAATGCGTTGTTCACCAACGGAACTGAAATTGAGTCCTGTAATGGGCGCGTTTTGTTCGCTGTCAGCAAATTATTTGCCGCGTAAACGTTCACTTCCCACTTCGTCCCTGCTTTGCTTGCTTTCTGCTATATCAACTGACTTACCTGACAGACAGCTCTGCGCATGAATAGTGACGAGCAAAAGCAAGGCGAGAACTGGTTGAACGAACCTCGGCAAACAGCAGGTCATCGTCTGTACTGAAATAACAATTGTATTTGTAAGATTTAAGGTTTTCACAGCGGTGAGTATGAAGATTTCTGTCGCAGAATCTTTAAACACTGTTTCCTTCCTAAACCGAATCTGTTCAATTTCAAGGCCGTTTGTACCATTTTTGGTTGTAGTTAATCCGAAAATCCGTGTCGTATTTCGTATCACATTTCCTGTTTAACAATGAACGTGTCCCGTACACTAAGGGCATTGCTATTCTATCTCCATTACAAAATTCACAGAACTGCGCTGGTTTACTCTTAAACAAGCAGTCGAATGTTACAGAAGAACAGAAAACCTCTTGATGTAAGATTTCTACTGCTAAATTACAAGAGCATAGCAAGACAGTTTAGAGAAAACAGTTAAAATACTCTTAAAATAAATTGCAGGACTTCTGTGCACTGTAAATTTGATTAATCAAACTTCTAAGAAGCTGTTATTGTTTTCGGGATGTTTCAAGAAAGGAAATATTCACAAAAGACTTAACGGTATGAGACATTTAAGAAAAAGCGACGAAACATATTTCTTTATTCCAACTGATTAATTTACCTGCAAAAGTTGTCGATTATTCCCTCTTTCAGCTGAGAGGCTATTTCTTGCCGAAGAAACGTTAATTTCTTTCCAGTACATTTAAAAATATAAACGTGTGAAAACAAGTTCTTAAGAAGTCGAATATTGCTACGAAAGCGGTAAAGTTAGACACGTAAAAAACTTAAATATCTTCTTCAGTGCCCTCACCTTTATGAGGAAGTTGCTCAGAAGCATAAGTACATTCTTCTTCCATAATTACCCTCCTGATAATTCATGTCTCGTGACTGCTCTGTCTCCTTGAATTGTTCATTTGCCATCATTTCCAGTGCCACTGAGATTCATAAAACGTTCATGCAGCTACATATACTGTGCGTTGCTTCGTTCGTTCGTGTAATTGTATGTTTCTGCGCCAAGGCCAAACCTCGGACAATGAAAGAAACCACGAGACTATTTATCCTGACATTAAAAGCCAAGCTCTGATCCTCCTGTCGTGTTCAAAGGCAAGCGAATGCAATCGAAAGGTTTCTTATGTGGCTTTGCACCTGCGCCCAGGCACCTCTTCATGTAAAGGGGGCGTCACTGTCGCCCAGTTTCAACCAAATTATAAATTTTTCAACGAATTTTAGTAAACTCCCCGATACGAAATTTCTTGAAAATTCGTAAAGTAGTTGTCGATTTGTTACGTTCAATAAACAGGCAGACATAACCTAACTAAAGGGAAACATCTCTACAATTTTGTTGCGATCGCACCTAAAGATGAAGTGGTACTGATTGTTCAGTATTGTAAGTAAGGAAACTGAAAACATGGAAGGTCGAGTTGACTCTGCTAATTAACAGTGCCTATGCCTGGTCTGAAAGCAGGTGAAGCGGAAATGCAGTACTATTAAATCCGTCCGACAATTATACAACAATGCAAAATTATTATCATCAACAAGAATATATGTTGCCTGGAACTCCATTAGGTCACTACGACGAACTCGTCCAAACTCTTAAAGAGTTCGCTGCCTTGTGCTGCAGCAATTTTTTTTTTTCGTGGGCTTATGTTGCAATAATTATGAAGGTCTTTTGGAGCTGGATTCAATCCACTTCGTTACAGTTGACGTCATTTCCGTTTTTATGTATTTAAAATAAAAATAGCCGTTATTACATTTTTGATTCTGTCGATCCTTTTCTCGGACTGGGACCTGTTCATATACGTTCTTGGCAGATGATCCAGAAGTGGTTTGCCATTGCCTTCTTCTGTGTGTGAATGGAGTAATTGTTGGGATGCCACGGAGAAACTGGGGAAGCCCCCGGAGGAAAACTCCGTGTTGCCTAGACCACGGCCTTGCCCAACACAAGTTATAAATTCGGGCACCGCCGGAAATCGAACCCGAGACCCCAGGATTACAAAGCCAGCGTTCTAACCGCTAGACCACCGTGGTCTGTCGGTGTACGGATACGTAATAGGGTAATCAGAGACCATTCTTCTTGTATGACTTGACTTGACTTAAACTATCACAAGAATCTCTCTCCTCTGAGGAGCAGCGCGAAAGAGCCCTACGTCCGGTCCACTTTGCCACCGAGGAAAGACCACTAGGGCGCTGGGTGGGTACAGCAGACAGCCTACACGTGGTTGAGAATTGTTTTCCTTGTCGGGAATCGAAATCCTGTTGTCGAGTTGCATCGGCTTTCCGATTCTGAGGCGGTTTCAAGGCGTAGCGTCTCTAGAAATGCAACAACGTTGGAATTACACGGCGTGTGGTGGGGGTAGGGGGGTGGAGGGAAATTCCATGGTACATTTTTAAGCATCTTTCCTCGGTAATTAGCGACGCGTGCTTGGCTATTTAGAACGTAGTTATTTCAAGTAGAAACACGAATGAAAATATATGGGCAGGGGTGCCCAGCGCAGTAAAATCTGCGCCTCAAGTCGCTCAACGTGACGTAGATCAGTGTTCGGAAAGGAGGACAAAATTATAATAGATTATGAAAGTAAACATACACGACGTGTTGTTTGAAAATGCGAGAGTTTTAAAGTATGTCAGGTGATATTAAATTCAAGAATTATCTGAGAGTGGATTTCAATGGAGGAATACTTGCTACCCTTCATTCAGAGTACTTTGTCTTTCCGTGCCCAATCAAAAACTCCGAAGACTGAAAGACGAAACTCAAAATTGCATTTGTTGGCGACTTTGTCCCTCTGAGCTGTGACGTCGTGTGGACTCGTACGTAGGTTGTACCTACGCTTCGCAGAAGGATACAGTCTGTATCTCCAGGGCTCCGAAACGCTGTTATGCACACGGCGCCACGGTCCAGGGGAACTCCATCGTCTGCTTCACCGTTGTGACATTCTCGAATCTCAGAATTGTATCTGCTATTTTCTGTGTAAGAAATAGTGGGCACCGTTTGAACGTAGGAGATGATAAATGACAATAGAATGATCAGCTGCGTAAGTTTCAGAGATGAAAAAGAATATTGTATTGTCCGCAAAGTTAAGAACTCTCGATGTTTATCGAAGGCGGGCAAATTCTTGAGACTGTGAGGGCCTATCAGTTTTTACAGAATAATTGCACTGCGTGTAGGTAGTTGACATCTAGAAGCTCGTTATTCGACGACCTCGTAATTGTTTTTGCTTCCCGGAAAACAATTCCAGGAAGCCGTTGATTGTGATCCCTGATCTGCGTGTGATAGAAAACCCCATTCTGCTGTTTGTTTGCGAAAAAATGCGGAAGATAACAAATGACATTCACTGTTGTTTTGTTATTGTTTTTACCATCATCATCACGACCTACACATCGTGAAGAGACGTTAACGCCCACTTCCCATCATTCTTTGGCGTAATAGTGATTTTTACGTATTTAAAAAAATATGAAATGTAATTAATGCATTCAGTTTTCTTATTCCAATTGAAATTGCGTTTCGTATAGATTACCCTTCTTCATCATACTTAAAGTTCTACAAATTTCTGTCTAATCTAAGAAGCGGTAGTCTTTGAATTCTGTTGATTACAGCATGAGAATTAAACCGATGTGGTTTTTCTAATTACGTTCTACGTAAAGTTAATATGTCCCCCCCTTCTGTTAATCCATCTCTGGGTTATCTTGTCCGTCTGCACTGCTCACTCTACGTATTCTTCGTAGACCTTCTGTCTCGCCAGAGCCGCAAAGGGGCACAGACCATAGTCGAAATCGTACCGACATTTTTCACGCGCTGTTAACTTTTACGCTCAGCATCAGAGTCTGAAATAGACAACTGTTGTTCCAGTCAGTGCGAGTAGAGGAATAATACTACAGTTGGTAACTGCACCGCTAATTCCATCCTTACAGATTCCTTCAGAATTTATTAACTTGAAATTCTTGTAGGCGATTTACAAGGCGGTGTTAACTCGATCCTTTTCCGCGTGGCTTCCGGAAACACGATTCGACGTCGACAAATTTGGTTACCGTTGTGCTTCCGGTGTGTTCACAGCGATATTCTGATTTCATGTGTTCTGGCTGAAGTAGTGCCTTTGAAATGGCGGCCCACAGTTTACTTCTACGTAAGCCCTGGACTTCCCTGTGTTACTTCAAATGGCACCACACCTACTTGAGCAACACAAAACCTTCTGCACCTTGTGGCGCCCTTTGGCAAGTTCTCTCTGGGACTTGAGGGGAAAATAGCTCCAGCTGAAGGGCTCGTGACTGGATGAGGCGGACCGTGCCTTTTTTAAATTATACAGTGGCGTATGCCTTACAACTGAGGAAGAGCGCGGAAAACCTCAGTCAGGGTAGTGGAGTGGTTAGACCACTCGTTGCGCCGACTTTCCAGGGCAGCCTCGGCTGGTCTACTGAGCATCACCCCGCCACCCATCCCAAGATTGCCCGTGGGTTACCTCAGTCAGCCATTTGCCGTACTAAGGGGTTCCCTGCATCAGCTAACTTTGAGGCTAAGTTCTCAGTCTGTGCTCTCTGGGGAGGTTGGCGAAGAATGGAGTCCACGATCCTCATGAATTTGCCTCTTACCAATGTGCCAACATGTGCCAGTGCGATGTGAGGACACTTAGACTGTAACACTTGCAGATTCCGTACGTGGCTGCAGGGAGCAGGCCTTAGGATCAGGAATGCGTAATCCATCACAGACTGGATAAGCTGCTTGTAGAGCAGCATACCATTTCTGATGGACAGATCGCTTCTCCTGTTACGGAGGGGACCAAGCACGCCCAATCGTTGAGCTGCCCTCTTTCCCACCTGGCTGACGTGCGCCGACCAGGTTAACCCGGTGCCAAGGGTCACCCCAACATACCGCGCAATCTCGACCCATTATTTCGGCTGTCCGAGAAACTGCACTCGTGTGGCTTTTCGATGCGTCTCAATTCATCTTCGAGACGTTGATTGCAATCCTCCGGGCCCGCAGCCAGACCTCCAGTCTACCGATATGGGCCTCCAGACAACCGACGAGAAGCAATGGACTACCGGAAGTGGCTACTAGAGTCATGTCATCGACGTACAAGCTCGACGTGGCGGGAGGGTGTGGGTACGCCTTTCACACACAGACTGAAGGGTAGAAGGGAGACGAGTCCACCCTGGGCCACCCCAGCCCGCATTCCACGACATGTGGTTGTGACTGAGTAGAAGGACGTTTGGAATTTTCGCAAATCAAAGAGTAGGGAATTCGTTTTCACGAGATAGGACGGGATGTTTGAGACACAAATAAAAGGGTAATGTTATTTCCTGGACTGGTTACCAAACGTACGCTATCGCCTAGTCTTTAAACATTCAAAGTCGCGATTCAGGTTTTCGAAATAACTTAATCAAAGCTGTTAAATTGCTTTAATACTTTCGTTTCCAATAATCAAATTACAGACGGTCAGGGCAGAGATCTTGAACAAAATGAACACTTGTGTGAGATTTTGTCATGAAGAATTGTAGAAGTTTACCGACTCTTCGGAGGTGCATATGTACTGCCTCCATCATCAGGGTGATCCCAGACTACACAACGCAACATCCCATAAAAGTGTTCTTCAAATGAGAGATGAACAAAAAAACTACTGTGCTGGCATTCGACTACAGAGTCTGAGAAAAGCCACGAAAAGCTTTCTTAATAACCGCTCGGCAAACTCCCCAAGGCAAAAGCGACGTATATCCGCTGTGCCAGGACCTCGCGTGCAGGGGGCGGAGCCTCAATGCTTCCGGCGTCCCTGACGGCAACCTGCACTTCAGGCTAAACTGTACGTACGCTGATTACCACTCTAACCGCCTCTGTAAGCCATTGGTTCTGTTGCCCCGATACGTCTGTAGGCGTCTTCTTATCTTCAGCTATTACAGGGGTTCTCAACAAGCGGCCCGCGACCATGTCTTGTAATATCATGCCACCCTATGTGATGAAGAATAGTTACCTAATATAAGAATACACGTTTTCTTAAATTGTTCAATAGTTGGTAGTTATGAGCAATTATTTGCCTCGATGGAGAACGTCGAACGAAGAAGTAGGATGCGTCTTATTGGTGAACACTTGGAAGGGTGCATGCGATTTGTAACAAAAGAAATTAATCACGATATTAGGAAGCTAACAAAACAAAATAAATTATATATATAAAATGCTAGCGTTTTTCACAGACTGCCATAAGTCTGCCGGAGCTCTTCTAGAGAACGTTTTTGTTCGCTCAGCAAGTAAATAAATTCCTGAAGGCTGATTACCGTGTTTGCAAGAACCGACACTTATGCTGAGCCACATAAACACCCACAAATCCTATTTATGACCCGTTTTAATAATATCTCCCACCTACACGCCTGTATTTTCCAAATGGAATTTTCCCTTCTCGCTCTCCAACAAAATCATAGCTCAAGAAACAATTGAAGAAAATGGCCCATTGTTCTCCATAGTACATGCATTGCAGCAAATATTATTCGGATTTTAAATCAAGGATGCAAAGTCAAGGAATTAGTGCATGGGGAGATGAAAAATGCGCCTGAAACCCCCCCCCTCCCCCCTAATCCAACGAGTGCTGTAAATAAGCCCAGGATAATGCAATTTTATTCACTCTATTGCACTCAGGTGGTTACAAGCATAACTAGAAGCTGGCAAACCAGGTTTATGTTCCGTTAGGTTATCTGCGATCCATATTATGAGTTAATGTTGAAGTTTCTCCAGATTTCGGCGCCGTGTTGACTGGTCGATAGATACCAACGTTTCGCATTTCTCCGAAACATTGGCATGCAGTCACGGCTGTGAAAACTTTAAATTTCACATTTTATATGTTGGTAGTACTAGTCACAGATTATAAACACAAAGCTCCACTCAATTCACAGATATGAACATAACACTATCGTGCCGTGTTCCGATCCATGCTTCTGGGTTGTACATCTAGGTTGTTGTTGTAGGTTTTGAGAAGTCGTGTTGGTGCTGTAAGTCATATGTAGCAGTTATGGTTAGGAAAAGAAAGTGCGCAGACTGGAAACCAGTACAGTTGACTGAAAATTTAATATCCAAAGGAATTGAAGGTTTAGTTGGAATAGAGGAATTGAACACTTATGAAATACTTCCAGGCGATACCAGACGGAGTGTGTGCAAGGTAGGGATGTGCATGTTGCGTTGAATTTTCTTAGTGGCATATAGGTTATTTATATTTTTACTGGAAATTTCAGATGGCTATACTTCGCAGTTGACCCTGGACAATAACGATGTTGTTTATCCTCGAAGGCCAGCTCATTTTATGACCGATCAATCGAGACTCGGCCAGATTTTAATTGTGTCTGACCGTTCCAGCATGTCGTCGTCGTGTGTCCTGTATGAGGAGACGACGAGTCTGTCATTTGTCATCCTTTGTCACGTCTGTACATAGTTTCTTTACATTTTCCTATGTAAAATAAAAACATTGTCTCTGTCAGTCCACGTTTTGTTCAGCTGATTATGTGTTATCTTAATTTTCTCTGTGCTACAGTGGCAGCTTAGTCACTTGAATGGTCCTAGGCTTGACCACAAGTTTAAGGCTCTTATATTTTCTGTGTTGGGCTTCGCCTTGTCCTGTAATACAACCATTTGCATTATGAAGATTTTGTGTTGCTTCTGCTTGCTGCCTGCAAAATTTTGTGATCAAATCACAAACATGGAATTTTGATACCTACATGCAAATCACAGATCAGTGTGCACCTTGGAAAATTGCCATTGCTGTGGAGAACCCTGTTTTGCAAGCATATTACCATGTTTCTCTCCATGTTTTAATAATTGCATAATTTTTGTTACCAGAAAAAGTTTGGGAAGAGCTTTAGTGTCCTGTCTGCTGATGGAAACGTTCAACTTAAATCTGAAAAAAGGAAAGAAGATTCCATACAGCCATCTCCTAAAAGGAAAAAAGTCAACCATAAAAGGAAACACAGGAGAAAGGGTGTGACTGACAAATCAAGAGAAGTGCTTGAAACTGATAAATATGAAGCACAGTCATCAGATAGTGAAGTTGAAAGGAAGAGTGTGTCATCAGAGTTACTGGACAAAATGTCTGCTTGGAATGGATTAGGCATTTCAAGCTCCATACTGCGAGCACTCAGTGAACAGGGGTTTGTAGAACCCACAGAAATTCAGGTATGATTCAGAAACTAGTCCAAAATAGTAGCTGTCAAGCGTGACTGAACACCTTCTCAGTAAAGTGACATTTTCAGTTTTATTTGTTATCCAGTTCCATGTGTAAACAAAAAATAATTTGTTTCATTATAATGAAACTGGCAGGGTGTGGCTGGGTATCTTGTTTATTATGAATTCAATTTTTCTTGTGGAACAGTGTGGTGGTATTTCAAGGTCTGTTTATTTATTTTTTGTTATGAAGATTTTTAACTTTATTCTGCAGTTTTTTAAGGAAATAAATGGTCATTTAACCTTACCTTCACTTCTGGAAGGGGGGAAGTGGAGGTAAGGCCTCACTTTAAGCACAGGAACAACTTTGCCCTTCCATGCACGTAGTTTTCATTACCTTTGAAGAAGTTCTTATCTTTTGTTAAAAGTTATTGGATATGAAATCTCAGTTTACTTTTACCATATTTACTCATGCACCCCTTGATGAAGGGATGTAATGGGCCTTCACATTTACAGTAGTTTTTGAAGGGATTTCAAAATAAATGGGAGTTTGTTTGGCGTACCTGATTTGAGACAAAATAAAGTTTTTTATTTGCTTCAAATTTATGATGTATTTTAAAAAGTTCTCAAGTTTTTCTTCATATGCGTCTGGTAACCTCTGCACGATCTGGGTTTGTCTTCTTATGGTTAAATTATGGGCAAAATACCTCACCAACCACTCTTGCCTTACCTTGCCTTAAAATTTGTTACTTGCTTGGTCCCAGCTATTTTCAGTGCTTTCATCTGGATTATTTCCGGCGATACAGCGTATCTGAACTGCCGCTTCTCGCAAATAAAGTTCACTAGCTCCTCTTTGATTACCTCAAACTTTGGTTTGGATCCTCTGAAGGCTCTTCGTTTGCTTGTAGTCTCCATTAGAATGCCCTTCTTCTTCTTCTTCTTCTTCTTCTTCCAGTCTGTTATACATGCCTCACTGATGATGAACCTTCTCCCGGCAGCCCGATTTTCGATTTCTGATTTCCTCAGCCACTCGAACTATCTTCAGTTTCTCTCTCAGTGTGAAAGACTGTAATCTCATACCCTTGTTACTCATTTTTAAAATAGTAACTGAAGAAGGTAATGGTCAACCCCAATTTTAAAGGACAAAGAGCAGGTAGAGACATACAGTTAGGTGTGAAATGATTCATACTCGTGTAAGCCGTGCACCCCATTTTACGGGTAAATTATTTTCAAAAAAGTCAGCGTGGGGTGCACGAGTAAATATGGTATGTCATCAACTTACTTGTGTTCTGCAGACTTTTACTTTCTCCTCTCTAATTCCATGCACGTTACTTATTCATTGCCCTGATGATTGAGGCAGCAAGGACCTCTGAAATGTTGGTAAACTTCTACCAGACCACATGGCGCTACAACTCAGAAGACATCCATCTTCATACTCACGGCCGTGAGAACCTGAAATCCTACTTCAGTTGTCTTGTCCTTAGCTCCCTTACCAAGGGACTACTGCATTTGAATTGTTTTGTCTCTTGCCTCTCCTGTTTATTTGTAATACTAGTTATTTTGGCATTTTCTTTATCAGGTGGGGACTTTGGTCTTGCAGGTGTTTTCTGTTTATCCAGTCCCTGGCTGCCCACTTCACTTTTATTTCTGAGGTGTTGTAGACTGTAGGCTGTGCTGGATGTAGTCATCCATTAAACCCTTTTATGTTCAGCTAGTTCCACAGTTTGGAGGCAGAGGGCTAACTTGGAGACAATATGGTGTTTTTCAAATGCTTTAAATGTAGCTTGAGTGCCTGATAGAATAATAACAGTAAATAACCTTATTTCATTACTGTGTGACTATTGTAGGCCAAAACCCTTCCAGCCGCTCTCCTGGGCCGGAGAGATATCCTTGGTGCTGCAGAAACTGGGAGTGGGAAGACTCTGGCATTTGGAATTCCAATTCTTCATAGAATTCTAGAAGACAAGAAATGGAGCTCAGGTAGTTATAATGTTTACCTTTTAATTTCTGCTGTAATTTTTGCTGCAGGTCGGCTTTTGAGTTTGGCTGTACTCTTGTTGCTGAAGCTGTTAACCTTTGTGATATGGGAATTTAAATTATACTTACATAACTTCACAGCCAGATTAAGTTGGCATTTAAACGCTTTCAAGTGAAGAAAATGATTACATAAATTATGGCCTAAGTGGGATTTGAGTTTTTCACGGCATTGGCTCTTCGCCCTGAGACAGCAAGGACCTCTGAAACGACTGTGAACTTTTTCCATACCACTTGCTGCTACTACCCAGAAGAGCCATTTTCAAATTATGGCCTCTTCACTGCATACTCTGACATACTGTCTCTGAATAAACTGTAGACTATTTAGGGTTAATCCACTTTCTGTACTCACTGCTGTTTAGTATACTACCACTCTCTCATTACATTCTTGCAGTATACCCCAGAAAGCCTTGGAACAGAAATTCTGTACGTAGGGTAAAAATATTCATGACCATTACTGTTTCTAATAAAATGTTTTAGGCTTATATGGTCTCCCTAAGAAGTGACATGTATTAAATGTACTTCCTTGTATACAGCATTTTTAAATTTTAAGTTTTCCTTAAATTTTTCTGTATTCTGATTCATTAAACTGCTTGTAACTCTGATTTAATTAAGTCAGAGCACTCTTATACTGGTTGGAAGCTCTTGAGTGGAACTTTCATTTAGTATGTAACTCGTAATATTATAGGGCACACTAACATCATGACTTTGAACTTTTGACATTTGTTTATGAAAAACATTATTGCCAGCTTTGTGCAAGTTCTTTCCACAGAACATGTTGATAGTTTAATAAAAGTCTGTAAAGTGCTGAGAAGATTTTTTTTTTTGTTAGTGGTCTGAAGCTACACTGAATGGTTAGGCGTTATGAGTCATGTTGTGATCTGCACAGATATGCTGCAGGGCATTA